GTGCTTTAGGTGGCCAGCGTGGCGGGAGCGGCCGTGGTCCCTTGCCGTGGGGCTGCACAATTACGTCGCCAGCCACGACGACCCCACCAACCTGGAGAGCGGCGAGATGGAGCCACGCTACAAGAAGCGGTAATGCTTTGGTTCTTACGTCCGATGCGTCGGACGTTGCCGATGTTGGGCTTCAAGCACAGGCGGCCCAGATTCCCCACGCATCACTCTTTTGTCCCCTTCCCATCAAGGTGGGCTCATTCTCCTAACAAAGCAATAATCAGGAGGTAATAAATGTATATTAGATAAAAGTTCCCTTTTTCCTTGACAAAGAACTATACAGTTGGCTAAACATCACATGGATTTTTGCTTTATAATACCGAAACCACACATTGTTAACTCTCCAAATTTTTCCAATGAGACGGTATTTCCGTAATTGTTGTCAGCACTATAAAATATTCATTTGCAAGATCATGGTTCATGGAAACATAGCCATTATTAGCATGTGATAGAATAGTACACACAGAAGATATGTCAATGTTGACACATAACAGCATTGCAGGGCATTGAAACGTATAGGCAGATGCAGAAAACTGAAAGGCAAACTAAAGGACAGAAACACACTCAGATTGGTAGTGCAGATGTGAATATAGATGCAAACAGCCAAGCAGTATTTCAAATTCATACCCTTTCAAGCCGCTGTAGAAGAGCTGTCTTGAACTGTCGGACACCACGACCACTTGAAGTCGGATCTAACCTGTGAGCCTTTTCGAATGCATAGAATCGGCCTGTGAATATTGCATGTATACACATCAATTAACATGACTAAAAACAAAATTGTAGTGTCCCATGGGTGGAAGTGGATAGCATACAGAGATAGGCGACGCGAGGGTTGGCCGTCTCAACCTCATTGGCAACACGGAGGATGGGCGCAATCTCAACAAGCGACGATGGCACCACCTCACTGTCAAACATGGGCTCACCAAAGTTGACAGCAGTCTCTGTCCTTTGGATGCGGCGAGACCCTGGAGGCTGCATCGGCCCTCCCCGAGACAGCGTCCGTGACAAGGAGGACATCTCAATGACTTGCAGTCACCACCCTAAACATTGAGGTGAATTCAGCATGTGAAATGGTTTCAGAACGCACTGTAAATCCTGAATCAGTAAATGGCATACATGTATGTGGTACCTTGCTAGCTGTCACTCGGTACAACAATTTGATGCTGCTGAGACGAATCAAATCAGGCCCTTCAACCAACCACCTGGAATGGAGGCCCTGTTTTGAAGCTAGGCCATGCTTGAAGATTCAGAATCCAGCACAGAGCTTTTGGTGGCGCGCGCATGCAGCGCTCGAGAACCTGGCAACATGATCAGAGACACCAATAAAGCAACCGTACAAAGCAGTTATCTGCCTACCAAAAAACACACAAAAAACGCACTACTAGCTAGTTTGGTAGAATCTTCTATAACAACTTGACCCTCGTCGCGTAACACGAGTACACGACCCAAACCAACCTACGAGCGCAATCGCGCCTATTCAGTTAAGAAAATTCAGAAGCCCAGTCTCAATCCCATTGTTGCATAGAATCGGCCGCAACCACGTCCCGCTCTCGCGGAGCACAACACAACCATCCGCCCCGTGGAACACCACGGGAGCCATGCTTCTGACGGAGCCAGAAATTTTTTTTAGCTGGGGCAAACTCAATACACAAGCTAATTGCTAATCAAAATCAGCAAACACCAATGTCGAGTGTGGGTGGCGGCGGCGGCCGGCAATCTGGCGACTGCGCGACAGTCGCCACTTGGAAGTCGGCGCCGAGGAGAAGCCGTGGTGGCCGGTGGGCACCTGGCCGGCAGGCGGCGCGACCAGTTCCAAGCGAACTTTGCTGCAAGTCCGCTTGGGGGATTCGGAATTGGAATTTGGGAACGAATCCCCCTGGTTGGTGAAGGAGTGTGCTTGTGTGCGATGGTGGGCTTTCAATGGCCTTTCAGGTCTCACCTCTGTTGGGCTGAACGAAGTGGAAAAAAAAAAGGCCCATCCCATGCTCGTTTCTTCTTCCTCGCTTGCGCGCCGCAGGTCGGAGCATCCCGCATTCCTACTCTTGCTCGCGCCACCATTATTGGGGAAGAAGGGGTCCTGTGGTCTAAGGCGAGCTCGCCGGTAGCTGGGGTGGCCGCCAGACCCCGACCTAGAGTGGCTCGGTCGGTTCAGACTACTTTGGAGGATCAAACCAAGGATGATTCCGTCATCAGGTTCCTCGCAACGCATCAAACAGAGGACGAGAGGGGGAACCAAACCAGCTATAGAAGAACCTTCCGCGATAGCAGTAATGAGAGACAAGGCGAGAGATGAGGGGGTTCCGCACCTCGCGCACGTGGAGTCGTGGACACACGGGAAGCGCGCGCACCAATCCGCAGCGGTACTCTGGAGCGAAAACCACCGCGACCGACGTACGGCCGCCGATCGATGCGCAGGAAACCCGCGGCGGGAGCTTCTGGAGGGACGTCGACGAGCTGGCCAGGGGTTACTTCTGCACAGGGGAGGTGATCGTCGCGGTCGAGGCGAAGCGGTGTTGGCCGTTGGGGACGACGAGACGAGAGGGTTTTGCGTTGGGAGGGAGGGAGGTGGGAAGTGGGAAGCAGGAAGACGACACCGGGAAGCGGAGGGGCGGGTGATCCGGGGCGGAAACTGGGCTCTATTTACCGCCCCCTGCCACTGGACCTGCAGGAGCAGAGGAGACTGGAGGGAGGTGGGTTCGTGCCTTTTCGTTGTAAGCGGTAAGCTTAATTATTAGTTATTTTTATAATTGCTTCTTCATCACTAGTACAGTTCTAGTTTGTTCCTGATGAGACTCACTAACCCGCAGCACTATATTACCCTATGATGTCAAGTTGACACACCATTTAGTGGTCGGTAAAGATTTGTCTCGGATCCTCTGTCCTTTATCCACCCTACAAATATATATTCCTTTCATTGCTAAGTCTGCCCCCATAAAAAATGTACTGAGAAAATCCAAAAGTTACGGTCCTCTGTACTCCCTCGTTCCAAATTGTAAGTCATTTGATTTATTTAGTACATCCATATAGCTATGCATCTAAATATAATACTATGTTTAGACACAAAGCAAAATGAATGAATTAAAAAAGCCAAACAACTTACTATTTGGAATGGAGGGAGTACACACGTGACTCTTCTCCCCCATGTGGCCTCACCGGGCCGCCCCTGACCCCTGACGACTCTGTTTTTCCATGACACTACATCATCAAACGCGCTCGTCGCCTCTCCCTGCCGCCGCCACCGGTCGACCCCGTGGTTTCGCACCCACCACGCCTTCTTTGACCCACACGTATGGCAGGCAGCTACAACCACGTTGTCGACCGTCACGTCACGTGCTCAACCTCGTCGTCCAGCACCAGTTGCCATCGTGCTTCCTTCGTCTGCGCCTCCAACGCCTTCTTCAGTCCCGCCGCCTCCTTCGCAGAGCAGAGCACACCAGCAGGGTGACACCGGAGCACTACCTGACGCGACGGAGAGTATCACCCTGGGGCGTGCATGGCCCATCCACCACATCGTAGCTCGGGAGCGTAGCGATTCCCCGTCCACGATCTACCTACTTACTCCTTGGCCTCTCCCTCCCAGTCCGCATTTCTGGAGACGTTAAGGTATCCATGAGTGGAGGAGCTGCTGGCAATGGCAAACTAGGCACCACTTCCATCTCTTGTCTCCTACTGCGATTGATGCTGCCGTGTGCGTGGTTGCTGGGCGCCACTGCTGCTATCTGTTCTGGTGGATTCTGCTCTTGATTGTGCATGGGGATTGCCGGAAGGATGCTGCTGATAGTTCCAGGGTATGATGTGACCAGAGCCAGTTCAGTGGCTGCTTTCTCACTATTCTACCACCTGATCCGCTTCTTTTTGTCTTTGAAATATATATTTTTCAATGCACACAGTGAAACAGGAAATTCAGGAAAGTGTGTGTATGCCATGGAGTCCACAACTTTTCTATCAAAATTTGTGTGGGATACAGGAATGGCAAGGGTAGTAGTTCGACCAGGTCGTCCACCTCCGTCCAACACGGCCTAGCAGAGCAGATTGGGGAAAGAAAGGACAGTAGAGAAACTGGGTCAGGCAGTACCTAATATCCACGTGGTGCATCCAAAGGAAGGGGAAGGGGAAGCCGCCGTTGCAGTGTCCGTCGCAGCCGCTTACACTGCTGAACTGTAAAAAATACTGAGGCTTATTTCTAGGGAGACTTGCATCTCAGTCTACACCTAATTACTGTAATAAGAACAGACACCTAGGCATTTAATTAATTGATGACATGATCGATCACACCAAGGTGAATTTGAGTTCAGGGTGTCTCCAATGGTTAGATATTTCGCTAGCTAGATGTGACGTGGCAGAAAAAAAGTAGGAGAGAGAGTAGTCACTAGCTACAAGCAAATAGCAGACTATTTCACGTAGCCCAAGAACATGTGAGATGAGCATGTGGGTCCAATAGTATAAAATAGTCTTAATTTTTGTCTCTTACTTCCACATCAGCAGACTACGTAGTTAGCACTAGCTATTACCATTGGAGACGCCCTCATAATCATACATCTTGTGCAGTGTGGCGAAATAAATCTCCAATAAGTAATGATTAGGGCATGCGTATATTGCGCATGTCAAAACTTATTGTTCATGCACCAAAACCAGTAAGCCACCTAAGAGAACTAGCCAAAGGTTGAAAGCTAATGTTGCCTAGTTTGAGGCTAACATTGCCTAGTTTCAGAGTTCAAGCTAGCTTGAAATCCAAACTCGAAGAAGAGTTCAAGGTTGTAAAATTGACTTTTCGCTATCCTAAATAAAATCGGTCCCTAGCTAGGATAACGATGTGCTATTTGGAACACAAGAATTTCTTCACAGGAAAATAGTTTTATTTCCACGGGGTTGGAGAGAAATCCTATTCCTTGCAGGCCTGAAAGAGTATGCACCAAACTGGAATAGAGAAATCCTATTCCATTTTGGCTATATGGCAGTGACACTACGCATTTATTATTTTCTGTTTAGGATATTGACAAGGGAAAAAATACCGCCATACCTCTGTTTTCCTACTAAACTCTCCTCTTATTCATGTGTTATTTCCTATTCCTCTATTTCCTGTTTGTGTTCCAAACAGGCCTTAAGTGACATTTATCACAAATACAGAAAAATTGCTTGTTCATGGTAAATAGAGCATTGCATTGCTCTAATTTTTTTTTTTAGAATGGATCATAATCCAAGCATGAGGAAAAGGAAATCAAAAGATGCGAAGAAGGAAAAGTAGTCTTTTCCACTTTTTCTAGTGTCAGAGGCAAAATCCGAAATTCACCATGTCCTACAACCAGCATTAAACAGTATGATGTTTTGAATCACAAAGACTTAATATGTCCTATGGACTAATTTTCCTTCAGTCAGTACTTACGTTAATAGAAGCATTAGTTCATCAATAAGCAAGATACAGGGGAGCGAGCCGTAGCTCGTTTGGTCCGTCTCCAGGTGGTGGAGCGGCCGGTCGCGGGATCGAGCGCTGGCTCGCCCGCGATTTTCCCACCGGGAACAGTAGGTTCCCAGATTTTCTCCCTCTCACGCAGATGTGCCCCAATGGTCAAGTGACGTGCCCGCCACAGCTCGGAGTCTGAAGGATTTTCGAGTGTCTGTCAAGCTGCGTTCTAGGTCTAGGTGTAGTTGTAGGTTTGTTCGTATATAAAGGTAGTGTGTGTGAGGTGTGCGTGCGTGTGTGTGGTGTGTGTTTGTATCCGAACAGATACTACAGCGGTACTTAGACGAGGGATCACAAAAAAAAAAAAAAGCAAGATACAGAGGCCAGGAGCGCGCATATATATTCCAGTGGCAAGTCATAACCTTGTCAAAACTGGAGGGCCATTCTACAAAGTGGGTACGAATGCTAGATGCAAATTCCAAAAGGTCAGGCGCTAATTGGCAATTCTAATACAGTATTAGAACTAAAGACAGGTTGTTTTTTTTTGGTAGTGTTACTTGAGCATATGCAAGGGGAGCTTAGTAGTAGTACTCTATTCTGCTGTGTGTCTTAGACT